AGCTCAGGGAAGCAATCACATAATTTTCATACTAACGGATGAAAATTTTTATAGTGGTCGCACAGAGGACATGAGAAACAGCGGGTCAAAATGAGCCAGTTTCCAGCATGGTGGGGAAGCTTTATTTAAAAGGAGTAAATTATGGTACTCTCAGCAGCTAAATTTTTCACCAACGTGAGACGAATAAACTCCTTCTGGAAATTACTCTTATGAAATTACTTCTTCCAGGACACTTAATAGTATATTCTGGTACCCCTGAAAAATTAATTAACCTTACTCGTAACAACCTAACTCCTAAACCATCTGCGGTGTGTTTTTACTGTAGGCCAGGTTAATCTTCTCTACCTTAATTTACATCTAAGTGAAGGTGGTCTAAATTACACAGGGGACTTTCCCTTGCTGGTATTTTGCCTTGTGCCATTTCGCTAGATGACATTCTGCTCATGTCCAAATGTATGAGTCTCTTTTAATATGGTAAACCTCTGAGATTAACAGGGAGAACTTTTTAAGCAGGGGGTGTGGGGGGTGCATGTGGGGCCGACACTGCTATCCTCGTTGGAGGTTAAAACACAGCCACAGTAAGGAGAGGAATGAGCTCAGGCTGGAATCCTACTCTGTTTACTTTTTCTGAGAAAGGCTAGATTTTCAGATCCAAAGGATCACAGAGCACAGGAGCCAGGATCTAGAATTGGACTGTAACAAGTCAACAGGAGGATTTACCAACCCACTCCCCCACGTTTTAAATTTTTTTTTTTTTTTTTTTTTAAGGCAGGATCTCACATTGTCCCAGGTTGGAGTGCAGTGCCACAATCTCAACGCACTGCAGTCACAACCTCCTGGGCTCAAAGGATTCTTCCGCCTCTGCCTCTGGAGTATCTTACAGGCATGTGCCACCATTCATGGCTAGTGTTTTAAATTTTTTAGTAGAAATGCGGTCTCGCTATGTTACCCAGGCTGGTGTCAAATTCCTGGCCTCAAGTGATCCTCTCACCTCAGCCTCCCAAGGTGCTGGGATTACAAATATGAGCCACCCCCAGCCTATTTTTTTTAAACCCAAAAGATACTGAAAAATTAGACTCAAGTCATTATCAGGAGACAAAAAGTAGTTACTAAAAATGTCACAAACGTTGAGCTGTTGGACCTCTGGTTACTTGCTGTGGGAGCAAAATCCTCCTTTAAAAATTCTGCAATCTTAACTCTTAAGCTGTGGGCATTTTATTTTTAAGGACAGACACATAGCATTGCTATTTCTATAAAAGATTTCTGAACCAACCAAAAGCGGGAAAATATTACAAATAATAGTAATTATTCTATGTTGTTTTAGCAAACAGAATTATCGTTAATACTTATTAATACACATATCAACGATAAGAAGGCAATCAACTGATACAAACACATTATCACACAAATAGTGTGGAAAGAGAAAGATATTTTCTCTAGAAGATAAAGAAACAGTATCTCTTTGTTTAAAAGATGGCTAATCATCCAAAAATGTGCCTCCCCTCCACCACTGGCCCGAAGGGGAGATTCATCTTCCTTCGTTAACTGCTTTCTGATAGGCTTTGTCCTCCCAAGTGTGTGCCGCTTTCAGTTGGAATTGATCATAGATGTGACAGTGATGAGGCCATCCCCGATGCTGACAGTCACGGTGTAAAGGCCTCCTTGTTCCCACCCAGCACTGTCGGCGGACGGGGTAGGAACAACGAGAGCTAATGATACAACTCTGGAAGCTATCATTTTGAATCGGTCCACTACTTACACCGCCCTTGTGAAAATCAAGCCAGGCTCATGCTCCATTTCAGGTTAGCAGGCCCAGGTCCACCCTGAGGCTCAGCAAGTCCAGAACAGACAGAACGCTTTGGATCTCCATGTGGACACTGGATCTCGGCATGGTATAATCACCAGCCAAAACATGTTCCAAACCACACAGTGGGCCACGGTGTTCCAGGCCAGCCTCACAAGCAGCCACATGAGGCTGGCTGCAAAGACTTGGCCTTGCTTTCAGGCCGATGTGGAATTCATTAAAGTCAAGGTCTTTCTCCAAAAATTCTCCCCACATGTACTTGGTGGGAGTAACATTTCTGTTCAAATTTCAGCTATGTCCTGGCTTCTACCACTCCATGCACTATTACGGCCTTATGTAAGATCAGGCTGTCAAACCTGTTTGTTGGCTCATCTGAGTCTTCTTACCCAGTTATAAGAAGTGGTCTTCTTACCACTCCATGCACTATTATGAGTGATTTAAAGCAACAATTATGTTTTATTTTTCATGAGTCTTTGGGTCAGATAGATGGTTCCAGTTCTGCTAATCTAAGCTCAGCTCTGCAGGGCTCCCTCATTCATATGCAAGATAGAGCCTTGCAGAGCCTCGCTTGGATTAGCAGAGCCACCCACCTGACCCAAAGACTCATGAAAACAATACATAGTTGTTGCTTTAAGATCTATATTTTGAGTTGGTTCGTTACCCAATAATAGTGAACTGATACAGCTGGTTAGTCCATTTAGATGAGAGCACAGTTTTTAGGGCAGACAATCATGAGGTGGAAAGGTAGGCTAGGCCAGGCTGCAGAGTTGAGATGTTAAGTGGAAGATGGTGGAGAGCCACTTGGGATTTTTGAGCAGGACACAAATGTGATGCAAACAGTACTCCAAAAGCTTTATTCTACGGTAGCAAGATGAAGATGGAAATAAAGCAAGGAGAGTCAGGGAGGATGAAAAACCAGGAGAGGAGCCCTCCCGACAAGAAAATGAGGGCCTGAACCATGCCAGAGGTGGCAGGCCTCCAGGTGTGAAAACAGGAGAAAGGATTGAGTGAAAGACCACATGGAGCTGGAGACGGAAGGTTGACAGTGGTTGATGGCTCCAAGGTTTCGAGCCCGAGAAGCTGAGAGGGTGACAAAAACAGAAGGAAGAAAGCAGGAAGAATTGGTGATGTTGTGCTTGAGAAGTCCACAGAGTATTCAGGGCAAGGCAAGTAGGGGCTCTGGGAAATGTGGGATGTAACTCTGCAGATGGAACCCTGTGGGGGAAAAGTACTTTGCGAGTATTTTTTTTTAATTTATTTTTTATTTTTTAAATTGAATTTTAGGTTTTGGGGTACATGTGAAGAACATGCAAGATTGTTGCATAGATACACACAGGGCAGTGTGATTTGCTGGCTTCCTCTCCATCACCTATATCTGGCATTTCTCCCCATGCTATCTCTTCCCAACTCCCCACCCCCGCTGTCCCTCCCCTATTTTCCCCCGACAGACCCCAGTGTGTGATGCTCCCCTCCCTGTGTCCATGTGTTCTCATTAACACTCGCCTATGAGTGAGAACATGTGGTGTTTGATTTTCTGTTCTTGTGTCAGTTTGCTGAGAAGGATGGTTTCCAGGTTCGTCCATGTCCCTACAAAGGACACGAACTCATCATTTTTTATGGCTGCATAGTATTCCATGGTGTATAAGTGCCACATTTTCCCTGTCCAGTCTATCATCATTGGGCATTTGGGTTGGTTCTAAGTCTTTGATATTGTAAACAGTGCTGCAATAAACATTCATGTGCATGTGTCCTTATAGTAACTTTGAGAGTATTTTTATGGAGGTAATGAGTAAATGCAAGAGTCTGAGCAAGAGAAGATCGAGAAGAAATGTGGATGTATATTGGTTATCTATTGCTGTATTACAAATTGCATCAAACCTAGCAGCTTAAGACTCAGGAGCCTGGGAACAGTTGAGCTGGGTGGTTCTGGCTAATGGTCTCTCATGAGGTACCCAAGAAATGCTGACCAGGGCTGTTGGCATCTGAAGGCTTGACTAGGGCTGGAGAATCTCCTTCCAGGATGGCTCACTCAAGTGGCTGATGGCTGGAGGCCTCAGCTCCAGGCCACATGAACAGTGTGGATAGCTGCTTGAGTGTCCTCATGACATGGCTGCCAGCTTCCTCCAGAGTGAACAACCCAAGAGAGAGCCCAAGGCACAAGTCTCTTGTCTTTTATGACCTGGCTGTAGAAGTCACATACCCTCACTTTTGTATTCTATTCATCAAACAGACCGATCCTGATACAACATGGAAGATGGTTACACAGGGGCATGAATACCAAGGGACAGGGAGAATTTGGTGCTTTCTCAGAAGCTGGCTGCCACAATTGGTGTGGCAGAAGAAGACAAACAAAGTTTCAGAAGATAAGAAGTTTGTTGGGGAGACAAGACTCCCACATGGGAAGAGATCAGGCTCTCAAACCTGTCGGCTCATCTGGGTCTCTATATGGGTCTTTGATCCCTTTCAGAACACCCTGCCTCCAGAACCGTCTGTTTGGTAGAGGAGGAGCTTTTCTCTATTCTACTGCTTCGCAGACTTCCCACGTACCAAGCAATGTGCAAGATTTCCCTGAGGTTGGCATGATCATGTCACTGTTTTAAAGGAAAGGAAACTGCGGCTGAAGTCTCCAGCCCAAGTTCTCATAACCAATGTGATGTGGAACTGACTGTGAACCCAGGTTGCTCAACTCCAGGGTCCTCACTCTGTATGTTATGTAAGTATTTATGTATTTACTTATTTGAGATGGAGTCTTGCTCTATTGCCCAGGCTGGAGTGTGGTGGCACAATCTTAGCTCACTGAAGCCTCTGCCTCCCGGGTTCAAGCGATTCTCCTGCCTCATCCTCCTGAGTATTTCACCATATTGGCCAGGCTGGTCTTGAACTCCTGAGCTCAGGTGATCCACCCACCTCAGCCTCCCAAAGTCCTGAGATTACAGGTGTGAGCCACTGTACCTGGCCCAGGGTCCTCTCTCTTAACCTCTCTGCCACCATGCCCAGAGAGTAGGGGCCTGCGTTTTTCAGTTAAAATTTCCCAACAAGATAAACCCATATAAGCAACAAGAGGAAATCTGAGGAATGTCCCAGTGATGCCAAGGCAGCGGCAGGAAGGGGAAGGGGAGGAGACTGATGTCCACTGAGTCACTCCTCTGTGGCAGGCACAGTCCAGGTAAAGATGGAGAAATCGAGGCATGCTTACCATCTTTGGGGTCCACTCTGTTCTCAGAGGGCTGCTCAACAAACTTCAGCAGTGGGGATCTTGACCTCTGTCCACTAGGAAGAGTGGGGTCACTGAATAGTATGGTGTCCTTGCTTCCTGTTGTGGAAAAGGGGGAAATGGATATCTTACATCATCAGTGGAGTCGGGTTACATTTAGTCCCACACACTTAATTGGCTCAGGCTACCACTAAAGGGAAGCCTGCTATGACTGCTGACACCCTCCATGCTTCCTTACACTTTTGCACCCACTCTAGCCCTAACCACTGCACACACACACACGCACGAAATCTTTATCACTAATTTAGCACTGAATTATAGGCCATTTTTCCCTTTCCTCTCACTGCTTGATGTGTATTCATCTTGCCTCCCTGCGTGGACTGTAGGCTCTTGTAGAGGGCGATAAGCATGTCTAGGATGCCTGGTACAGAACTGAATTCACAAAGTCAGTGCTGAAATGTTGAAAGGATACCAACGCATCAGTGGGCTGATTACTGGAAGAGACATGGATTCTTTCCAGGTGATGGTAAATGGGGGAGAGTTGGCAATTCTTTGATGTCATTGGGATTCTGCTCTCAAGTTGGCTAAACACTATGATTTGACTCCTACTTGGGGAAAGAAAGAAGAGGAAGAGGAGGAGGGGGAGAAAAAGATGTATTGCATCTTATTCTACGATTCACTAGTTTAAATGGAGTCACAAAAGACAATGAGCAGACAGAAGAGACTGATCTGATTTACACTAGAAGAGGCTCTTCTCCCTTTGCTTTCACCATGGTTTGAAAATATCCTAACACGATTCTTCATCATAAAATCCTTCATCACTGCAGGAGGGCAATGCTATTGCCATGACATAAGCTGTCTCAGATCTGGGGAGCTGCCACTCTTTTTCCTGTCCTCCCACTTTGTATTTATGTGGAGACCGGAGATTACAACACACAGGGCCATAGCATAAAATTCATTCAGCCAGGCCCCCAAAGCTAATTTCATCCTTTAATATTTGTTTTGTACTAATTGAATTCTCTATTTCAATTGACAATTCTAATCAGAAAAGTTCAAGGAAAGGTAGAGAATGCATTTCTACTTATTTACATGCAGAGACAACATAAAGCACTGCTGATATTCGCCACAAAAACAGAGATTTTAAACAGAACATACTCCCAAATCCTACTGAAACATTGTAGCTCAGGCCTTCAGGCAGCAAAAAAAAAGAAGGAAATAATTGTTATTGCATAATGGCCATTTGAAGTCGTACCTAGACCAAACAAAACCATAGAAAATTCTCAGCATTTGTTCACTCATGTAACTTCCATCTTTTAATATAAATTGTAGAAATGAAACAGTGAGAAATTTCACCAAGTCATTCTGAGAAAAAGAAAATCAAAATTGTACCCCCGTACATGCACAGAAATGGCAGTCTGACTGTACAAATACATGATCAAGTTACCCAACTGTGTTGCAATTCAATGCAATAAAAGAAAGGCCTTCATAGAAGATGAGGTTTTAACGGCATCAAAAGATTCTTGTGCAGAAATGGATCATTCAAATGCCCAGGACTGTATCTGGCACTAATTAGTTCTGTTAGGTCTTTTGACATCAAGTTCAAGGAATCACTGCTAAAAATTCCAATTTATGAAACACATGCCAGGTGCAGTGGCTCACGCCTGTAATCCCCAGCAGTTTGGGAGGCTGAGGCGGGTGGATCACCTGAGGTTGGGAGTTCGAGACCAGCCTGACCAACATGGAGAAACCCTGTCTCTACTAAAAATACAAAATTAGCCAGGTGTGGTGGCGCATGCCTGTAATCTCAGCCACTTGGGAGGCTGAGGCAGGAGAATCACATGAACCTGCGAGGTGGAGGTTGCGGTGAGCCGAGATGGTGCCATTGCACTCTAGCCTAGGCAACAAGAGCAAAACTCCGTCTCAAAAAAGAAAAACACACATAAAGGCAACTTAAGGCAGCGATTCAGGTTTATATTTCAGAAAACATGTCGTCCGCCTACCTCCCTGTGCTAATTTTTACTTATTGTTCACTCCAGGGAAGCATCCATATGATACAAGAAGGAAGGAGACTGGTTTGTGCAGAAGGTTAAGTAATTAAAAGTATATGTACAGCATGGTTTCCAGGGAAAGGGGAGATGGTGGAAGTGGTAAATATATGTTTCTGAAGAGTAAAATATCAACGGGGAATGGCTGACTGGGGTCTCACAAAAGGAGTAGTTTACCAAGACAAGTGAGATAAATACAGCTAATTAAAGTGGAACACCAGAGCTTCCAAACACAATGTACAGCTGAAAAAAAAATCACAGAAAATTCAGATTTTCAGGCTAAGTAAAAAATGGGATGGGGGAAGGGAAGAGAAGGAGGTGGTGGGGTACATTTTGGGTTAGAAAAATTGTTGGTTTTTATCTTCATTTTTAGTACTGGTGATTAAATTGGACAAATCTCTGTATGTTCTTACGTTCAATTTCAGGACTGGTGATTAGTGTGCACAAATCTTTGTTGAGTTCTTATATTCAGTTTTAGGGCCAATAATTAAATTGAACACACTGAATAAATCCTTATAAGATATCTACAGATTAAAAGAAACAATTCACTACATTCACGAAAGTTAAAAAAAAAATACAGACACAGTGACCATTTCAGAATTCAGGTTTGCAAAACGTTATCGTTCCACAGATGAGATCCTGAATATTTATTGCATTTTTCCGATTTCACCCCCACCCCGCCATGTCAATTTCTAAACTTAGAATACTTATAGATCTTTTCAGCAATGATCTACAAATAAAAGAATTTTAAAAAGGTAGCATATTCTTATAAATTATGTGGGGACTTCATTTCTTTACAAAAAAAAACAAAAAGGAAAATAGTTTTCATAAAGTTCTGTTTACCTGGAAGACTCCACAAACCAGAAACTTCCAGAGTTCTTAACTTTTTTTCCAGCTCAGCCACCCGATTCCCTAGGATTCTGAAAGAAGGGGAGAAAATGACAATCAATTATTGAGCATCCTGTCAGCCCACAGCTCCAGGAATCCCACTAGTGCCCTAATAGAAAAGTGTTGAGATTTATGATATATGCTAAGGGCAGAGAATTTGTATGTATATGTGTGTAAATAATATGTGCTCTACTGAAAGTACATATGCAGATAGAAAGTACAGTGAATGATTAAAAACAATACTAGAATGCCATGAAAGTGAGTCCTCTGTCCTAAAAGGTAGTTCACCTGGGAAACTAAACAATGACTCCATTACTGCCCAAAGCATTAGATGGAATTTCTATTTGAGAAATGCTCATTGCAAAGATGACAATAAATGTTGAATACCCTTAGTAGTACCACACCTTGATTCTTTGAGGGTGGATCTGATTTTTGGAAAAAACCAGGTCTAAAAAATAAGATGGATGGGCATGCTTGGTATTGTTATTTTGAGTCAATAAATAATACCATCAGCCTTCTTAGACCCCTGTCTTACTGATGTCCATATTCTTGATGTTTAGCACAATGCCTGATACATGGGAGGTGTTTGATAAATATATTTTATTAAATAAATGCTTTTCTTTTTTCATGACTCATAATTAGCTATGAGAAGAATGAAAAAGCAGTATTTCAAAAGAGTTTTCAGTAATTGCAGAATCGTTAGAATAATTACATTGCTTTCCAAGGTGACCATGCTGAGTCGCTAAGATACATCAGTTTTAGAACGTGTGTATTTGAAAAGACCATACTGTTTACTTGGAAGTCAAACTTTCACTACATGCATGGATAGACATGTGGGCATAATACTCCCACTTCACTCTATAAAAACTTAAATATAGTTGAGAAATGATTTAATAGTCATCTAAAACTTCAATCACTTTCCACTGGGCTGGAAATTGAAAAACCAGTCTTTATTTTATTTGGGGGATTTTCTTGGCACTGCTGTGCTAAAACAATGTGGAATTCCCCTTAATAGCAAAGTTTCAATTCCTTTCAGCAAGATAAATCAGAACACTAGAATTATTCTCCTACCTCTCTTTATATTCCAGAGATAGCTACACACACCCACATACACACAGAGACATGAATATGCATATATCTGCACATATATATGGCTGTGGCTTCATCCTTGTTTTACCTGAATTGACTTGTACCATCTTAATTAATATTCCCTTTGAGTTCACAGAAAACTCTGGAATTACTCTATGTGGTTTTCTTCCATCTAGGTACTTAGAGCTTTTCTTTTGTTCTTTTCCCTAAGTCTTAAAATTATGCATGGTCTTTATCAATTACTTTCCATTTTCATTCCATTGGTTGGGTCTCTTTTGCTTTCATGTCCCTGACCCTTCAATAGACACTATCCTTTGTAATCTTGCTTTCCATATTTTGCTCAGACCTTCTGATCCAAACTCCCTTTTCACCAGTTGATGGGTTTGCGATGCAATCACAATAGTGTTCAAGTTGATGCCTGTTTCCTAACGAGATCAGATCATCTGTAGGTGGTTGCTTCTTGGAAACAAAAGATAAGGCTTAACTGTTCCGTGGAGACTGGGGGATGCCGTCTGAGCTGCATCTGAAGGTGTGGTGAAGAGATATTGGGTTATATTTTTTTCTGATGTTTTGGGATAACACAGACATTTCTCTCAAAAATGTAATGAAGTGAATGTGCCGGTGTCCCCCTCAATCTACTTTTAGGGCCCCTGCCTACGTTTGTCAGCTTTCTTCTCTGACCTGACACTTATCAGCATCTGATGCAGGGCTGAACGTAGTAAAATGGACTCGGCAGTAGTTCTGATAGTAGAAATAATAACAATAGTACCATTGACAACAATAGCAACTGCACTACTGTCAACACAAATAGCCAGCTAATCTTTCCTGAGTCCTTAATATGCCTCACAGACCACGCTGAACACTGACCTGTTATCTCATCTAACCTGACAAAAATGCTGTGGTATACATGGTGTTGTTACCTTCCTTTTACACATGTGGACTCTAAGGAACAGAGAGGTTAAGCAACTTGCCCAAGGATGCACAGTTTATCTCAAAGTTCTGTCTTTCCCCAGACCCTAGCAATCTCATCCACCATACGCCCACCTTCCCATTAGGAAGCTGAGGAACAGAAGTTAGTTAACTTGACCAAAACCACATGCAAGACTCAGCTGGTGGTGAGGCTGTATTGGAATGTAAACCTCGATTTCCTTCTGATTATGCTCTTAACCAGTAACTTGTAAAGGCACTTTAAAACAGACCTTCTCAGCTGGGCACGGTGGCTCACACCTGTAATCCCAGCACTTTGGGAGGCCGAGATGGGCTGATCATGAGGTCAGGAGTTCGAGACCTGCCTGGCCAACAAGGAGAAACCCTGTATCTACCAAAAATGCAAAAATTAGCTGAGTGTGTTGGTACATGACTGTAGTCCCAGCTACTCCGGAGGCTGAGGCAGGAGAATTGCTTGAACTTGGGTGGTAGAGGTTGCAGTGAGCTGAGCTCGCACCACTGCACTCCAGCCTGGGTGACGGAGCGAGATTCCATCTCAAAAAACAAACAAATAACAACAAAAACAACAACAACAACAACAACAAACTTTCTCATCTTCTTTTTCATGTCTGCATGGAATGCTCCTTAGAAACTGTTCAGGTTGAAATATGGATGTGGCCACAGGTGACTTGCAAAATACAAGCCACAGTGCTTCACATGGCAAAGAGAGTCTCTGTTAGCAACACACTGAAAGAACATGGCAGGGGGCCCACTGAGCCTGGTGTGACGCAGACCAGGGAGAAAAGAGTGGCTATTTGCGTCTTAGCGGCCAGCAGCACAGATTGGTGGAGAGAGAAGAAGTAGGAGCCGAGTCCATTCAATTCAGTTTGACCAATTCAGCAGACAATTCCTGAGATCCAACTCTGCAAAGCACTATGCTACAGGCTGTAGAGGATAATGGGGAGGAGGGTCTGTCCCTGCATCGAAAGCCTGTCCCTGTCTGGTGGGAGACAGAGCGATGCAGATACACAAAAGCATACAAGGACAGTGCGGTGGAAGGCTTTAATAACAGCTGGTACGTATGAATCACTTGTGTACCAGGTATGCACACACACTTCTTGGTGCCCTGCAGCAACTGATGCATTGGTTGTAGATGAGAAAACAGACTCCGAGAGGTTACCTAATTCACCCAGGCTTACACAGCTGGCGAGCAGAGCAGCCAGGCAAGAACACAGGCTTGAAAATACACACATGCTTATTAAAACTGTAGAGCAGAAATGAAGAGCTAAGCGTAAGATCAATCTAGAGAGACTGGTAGGAACCCAGACCGTGAAAGACCTACCTACTTCATTGAGAACATTCAGACTTTTCTATACGGGCAATGGGGAGAGAGTGAAGGGCTTTTTGTTTTTTATTATTTTTTTATTTTTTAAGAGACGAACTCTCACTCTGTCACCCAGGCTGAGGTGCAGTGGCATGATCTCAGCTCACTGCAACCTCTGCCTCCTGGGTTCAAGCAATTCTCCTGCCTCAGCCGCCTGAGAAGCTGGGACTACAGGTGTATGCCACCACATCCGGCTAATTTTGGCATTTTTAGTAGAGACAGGGTTCACCTTATTGGCCAGGCTGGTCTTGAACTCCTGACCTCGTGATCAGCCCACCTCGGCCTCCCAAAGTGCTGGGATTACAGGCGCGAGCCACCGCACCAGCTGAGTGAAGGGTTTGAAGCAAGGAAGCAGCATAAGGATGTTTAGGCAAAGTATTCTTGATGCCTAGTTGGAATGGAATGGAAGGAATGTGAGTAGAAACAGATTAGTTAGAAGAGCATCGTCCAGGTGGGGGACCATATGGTCCAAACCAAGCCAGTGTGGATGCAGGGGTGCTGCAGGAATGGGGCAATAGCAAGGAGGTAGATGAGTCTGAGATGCCTGTGAGATATCTGTGCAGACAAGCTGGATGCAGGAAGAAAGGCAAAGCTCTGAGAGGGCAGGCTGGGGGAGCGGAGCCAGCAGCTCACCACCAGAGGGTGCGGAGTCAGAAGGAACAGGGGAGGGGGCAGAGGACAGTCAGGACAATGTGCCACCTTGGAAGCCAGGGGGAGAAAGGTACAGATGAGAAGGGATGATCCGTATCGTCTTATTCTAGAAAGTGGTCACGCAGGATGGGAGTTGAGAAGAGGCAGCTTAGACGATGTGCCTGACCTTTGAAGGAGACATGTTTCAGGACAGTAAACATCTGTCCTGGGATGAAATCCGGAACCCAAGGGACAGGGCTGAGACAGAAGCATACTATGGGAAAAGTGAATAGAGCCGGCTCTTCCAGTAGCTTAGCAGTGAAGAGCAGGAGACAACCAGGGCAGTAGCTTGAGGCATACTCAGGCTTCAGCGATTTTGGTTTTGTTTTCTTTCAGGACGAGGGAGATTTTAATGTTTTAAAGTTTTTATTTAGCTATGGGTTGTTCTGGGGGAGATTTTAGCATATATCTACCTAGTAGTCTAGGAAATCTCTCAGGACGCTAGGCCTCCAGATGGCTTCCCTGCAGTGGTTTTAGATAATAATGACATCACTGAAGGTGGGATGAGGAGTCTGCGAAGACAGAACTCACACAGAAACTGCGCTACTGTGCTTGCTCTCTGGACGACACAGACAGCAGGAGTACCTGAGCGAGGGTTTTTAAGGAAAGCTGGCTCTAAAGGGGAAGGAGGAAACTGTGTCTCTATACACCTGGAGACGCCCCCGCCTCCTCCCACCCCAGGTAGCCTCCTTTTGCGTTTCTGCTCTGAATCCATGACACCGTCTTGCTGCTGCTCCCCAAGATGCTGAACTTCCAAGCTCATTTACCATTGGCCAGGGAAAGAGAAGACGAAACAGTTTCAGGCATAGCAGGAAACATAGCAAAAGGCCAATATGTTCTCCTGTGTTCACCACCACCCCCAGCCATGGCGAGGCATGAGCCTGGGGGGAAGGTCGGGAGAACTAAATGTGGTGCGCAGTGAAATGCCACGTGAACACCGGCCTCTTCCATGAATGCTTTGCCACCCAGTTCAAAAGACAAATGAGCCTCACATCCGTTCTTTCTCCATCACCAGGCAACTGCCAACTCGCTGGCAAGAAGTATCTCAAGCAAATTGTCTATTAATTGAACGTCACTCAAGATGTAAAGTCCTAGGTTTCTTCATCAATTCGGTGAGATGGCTCCCACTGGCGCCTCTCAAGGGCGGTAACTGTCAGGCAGTGGAAAAGCAGCAGGGGAGCGCATGCTGCCAGGAAGGACACCTTCCCTACTATTTACAACACTTCAGCAAAACAAAGCCAGTTCTTTTCTTTTTTTAATTAATTAATTATTATTATTTTTTCTAAGATGGCAATTGGGACATGCACACAGAGACCAGGGTGGGTTCCAGTGTATTCCAAAAGCTATTGTATTATTTTAGTTATGTAAGGCTAAATCGAGGGGGAAAATGCACACAGACCAAGGTCACATTCTACTCAGCCCTCATTCCATTTGTAGTATAATTAGTTCCCTTACATGCCCCCAAATAAAACATTTATTAAAAGTATGAAACAGAAGACCTTCTAAGCATTAAAGATGGCACAATAGGCAACTTATATACTGATATGAAGCAATCTCCAAGATCCATTATTACAGGGGGTATAAAAATTCAAGGTGCAGAACAATGAAAACATAAACCTTTTTAAAAAATGAATGCTGGCTGGGTGTGGTGGCTCACACCTGTAATCCCAGCACTTTGGAAAGCCAAGGCGGCCAGATTGCCTGAGCTCAAGAGTTTGGTGACTAGTCTGGGCAACAAGGTGAAACCCGGTCTCTACTAAAATACAAAAAATTAGCCAGGCGTAGCGGTGTGTGCCTGTAGTCCCATCTGCTTGGGAGGCTAAGGCAGGAGAATTGCTTAAACCTAGGAGGCGGAGGTTGCAGTGAGCCGAGATCATGCCACTGCACTCCAGCCTAAGCAACAGAGTGAGACTCTGTCTCAAAAAAAAAAAAAAAAAAAAAGTTACTATTTGTAAAAAAAAAAAAAAAATATATATATCTATGTAAACATATGAGTGTATGTATGTACACGTAAATGTATTGTGCATTTGCTTACACTGTCTAGTCATCCTTGGGAAGAATACATAAGAAATGAGGAATGGATGTTTCCTCCAGGAAGAGGATTAAGGTAGCTGGGAGTCGTTTGGAAATACATTGTGGTTTAATCTTAAATTAATATTAAAATTAAAACTATAGGGGCTGGGCATGGTGGCTCATATTTGTAATCTCAGCACTTTGGGAGGCCAAGGTACGTAGATCGCTTCAGGTGAGGAGTTCAAGACCAGCCTGGGCAACATGATGAAACCCCATCTCTACTAAAAAAAAATACAAAAGATTAGTCAGGCGTGGTGGCATGCGCCCGTGGTCCCAGCCACGAGGAAGGCTGAGGCACGGAAATCACTTGAACCCAGGAGGCAGAGGTTGCAGTGAGCCAAGATTGTGCCACTGCACTCCAGCCTGGGCGACAGAGTGACCTTGTCAAAAAAAAAAAAAAAATACCCTGTCAAAAAAAACCCCAAAAACCGAGAGGATGGCTCAAAAATTATTTTTAAATAAACATGAAGAAGTGCATGGAAACAAAAATAAACATGGTCAAATGAAAATGTTGGTCTTTCTCAGTGGAGGGAGAGAGTGCTGTGAACCTGGGGAACACGCGTGTCTGCAGCGGGTACGGTTAGGAACATATTAGGAAATCAATCTGTCGGAGGAGCCTGGAGTCCTCTGCAGAGGCATGGCAGGCTGACAGCCTGTGGAGGCTGCCTTTGGCAGGCAATGGGGGTTCAGCTGCTTTGCAGGGAAGGCTCGTGGCATGCTCAGAACGGTAGCTGGCAGGTGGGTGAGGTGTGGGAGGTAGAGCTGGGGTCTGAGGATGGAGCTGTGGGAGTTCTCCCCAAGGAAGAAGCGATGTTCAGAGGGAACAGCCATATTTGAAACCTACTAGGGAATGGATGTTGACTTATGGGATTTGGGGAGCTAAAAGGATATCCAGAGAAACCAGCAACCAGAGTTGGAAATGTGGGTCTTGGTCTTGCTCTTGACGGGGTGGTGGGGACAAGAGATCTGAGAAGAGTCTGCAGAGAGTGAGACGCCAAGATGGAGACAGGGAATGAGGTCCCCAGGTGGGGGGAAAGCACAGGAGACAGAGAGGAAAGATGGAGTGGGCCTGGAGTGGGAGTGAGGGAAGAGGTAGGAAAAGGAAATGAGACAGTGGAGAGAGTTGGAGTTTCTCCCTTGGAGCCCATCTTACTTGAATTTCAAGATGAAAATCTCGACGTGAAGAAATTACATCGAGTTTGGGGATACTAGTGGTCAGCAAAGAAAGAATGGCATGGAACATGTAGGAGGAGGTCTTGGGAGGCATTAAAGCCCAGGTCGTCTTTCTGTACTGTGCAGGGACTCACCTGGGACTTACCAAAATCCAGAATTCTAACCTTCCCTCCCACAAATCCCTTTGAATCTGCATTTATAAACAAGTGCCCCCCAGGTCCCTGCACCCAAGCAATCCCAACATAAGTGACCTGGAGAACACACTTCGATAGGGTGGCTATTGAGGAAAGAGAGGGGGCCTTCTTCACAAACATCCCAGGCTGGTGGAATTTTGGGGAAGGCAGCAGGATTGAGGAAAGGGTTTGGAGGTTCAGGGTAAAGAGGCAAAAGCCAGAGGAAGGGAGGAGGTTGATGAGAGTGAGAGAGGAGGTCCCAGGGGAGCAGAGGCCCAGAAGAGGAAAGATGTCATGGACCAACAAGATGGTGGGCTGGTGTGTTTCCTGGAGGCAGGAGTGAGCAGAACGTGGGGAGACACTGATTTCAGGGCAGCCGCAGGTTGAGGGGCTCATGGTGAGAAGCCCTGTTTTCTCAGTGAATGAGGAACTGAGGTCACCTGCTCAGACGGACCAGGGTTTAGAAGACCTGAGAAGGCTTGAAAGATGAGGCATTCTGTAGACAAGGATGAAGCCAGCTCACGGAGGACGTTTCGTGCTGCGGGGGGTGTCCATTCCTTCTTCCTCCCCTGGGAAGCATCTGCATTTCAGCATCTGGCTTTTCATTCCTTGGTTAAGATTTCATTTTTTCAAGAATGTTTAAACTGTCTCCTGTCAATAAATGACCCTTGTCATCCCTCGAGATTGCCCTGCTTCCCTGTGCTGCTCTCCGCCTTCTTCCGCATACATCTTCATCTCTGGTGTGATCTTCCCTTCACTCCAGCTTCTCTTTTTTTCTGTTTTGTTTTTATAACACTTTCAATCATTTTCCACTTGCCTCTCTCCTGTGCGCCTGTGTTTGCCAGGCCCCCAGTTCTCTGGTCCCTCCCTTTGTCACTTGAAGCCTAGCTTTCTAGGCCCGGTTCAGTTCTCTCACACTTGCATTTTGGGAACCTTCTGGGTGTACATCTGTCTTGCAAACAAGACCAGCTACATGCTTTGCAGGGTCCAGTGCAAAATAAAAATGTGGGGCCCTGTTGTTAAAAAAATGACTAAGAATTCCAAGATGGTGACAGTGGAGGATCAGACCTAATGTGGGGTCCTTCTGAGCACAGGTTGCATGCCCACGAAGCCAACCTCATGTGTAGTACTTGCTACTTTAATTTATTGTGTATTTACCATTCTCTGAACACTCTTGATATGGACTCTGTCATCTCTAATGGCTGCTTTAACCGTCTTTAACTTGCTTGGTTTTACATAACATAGTCAACATGCTATAAAAACCAAATGACACATTCCATTTTAATTACTCTTCCTTTTCACCATCTTTTTTGCTGATCTGGAAGAGTGACATGAGATTCTTTTCTAGGCCCAGCAGCCTGTGGAAGTTGATGCTTGGCTGGTCTCTGCCATTCAAAGACCCTCAAAGTCATGTTGGGAGTTTCCAATGGCACTGAGGCAGTTTCTCCCATAAAAGGAGAGCTGGAGGAGAGGGGGGTCAAGTCACTCAGGTAATTATTTTACGGAACTCATCTGTGAAATGCATACGACTCAGTGAGTAGCTCAGAGGAAGCGTTCGATATGGCTGGTACTCTTTCCGTGCTTGGCTCCAGCTGATAGCCAAGACACTGATACAAAGCGACGCACCGTCCTAGTTTAATAAGTTTCCTTCCTGATTCGAGGGGTCTCACCTTCCCTGCAGTTCTGTGGTTCCGCCTGGTTGACATTCACTTCTGGTAGCCTAGTCCCACTTCCTTCGCGCCCACCCCCCAACCCCAGAGTTTGGCCACATACTTGTTGGTTTGCCGCTGGTGCTGAATGACCATGTTTTTCTCGTGGATTGTTTCCAACAGGGCTGTTGCCAGAGATTTCAGGTCAGAAATGGACTGCGGAGTAGCTGGGAGGCTGCATCCGTGATCCTCAGATAGCAGATCCTGAACTAGATAGGACATAAAATATATAACTCAGTCATCATTCTTCCGAAATGTGGGAATGCAAACCGGTGTCAATCCTTCCTGGATAATGACATGTCCCCTGCTTCAAAATGCTACCATGTGTATTGAGAGTCCACCTCAAGGGTCAACACAACAAAGTAAAATCCAGTGTGAGGACTAAACAGAAAGGAGGAAGTTCTCAGCACTTTTATGAGCAATTTTTAAGAGGGTAATATTATTTGCATTTGTCTAATATTTTAAACACTTTCATAATGAATGACTAACTCATAAAGTCTTAAAATTAGGGGAAAAGAAACCCTACAGAATATTGCTTTTTTTTTTTTTTCCATTTCATGGACAAAGCAAGGCACAGATGGGTTAAGAACATTGGCTGACATCAAAAACTATGAGTCTGTGTCCTTTGTAGGGACATGGACGAACCTGGAAACCATCATTCTCAGCAAACTGACAGAAGAGCAGAAGATCAAACACCCCTGTTCTCACTCATAGGCGGGTGTTGAACAATGGGAACACATGGACACAGGGAGGGGAGCACTACACACTGGGGTCAGTTGGGGGGAAATAGGGGAGGGACGGTGGGGGTAGGGAGTTGGGGAGAGATAGCATGGGGAGAGATGCCAGATGTAGGTGATGGGGAGGAAGGCAGCAAATCACACTGCCACGTGTGTACCTATGCAACAATCTTGCATGTTCTTCACGTGTACCCCAAAACCTAAAATGCAATAAAATAAATAAATGGGAAAAAAAAATTGGCTGAAGATCACACAGCCACGCAAATGACAATGACTCCTAGCTATGAGCGCCTTGTTTTATGTCAGAGTTTGCCACGGTGTGATACCCCTGGCAGGTGGTAAGATAATTTAGGAGATTATTTAAAGTGCAAAATATGCTTTGTATTTTAATAGCTATGCATTTGTTTGAAGGTATTCTAGAAAAGGATATAAATGACATAATGAACCAGTGATTTCACAGGTGCTACTATATAGGACAAGGCCCAGTAGAATGAGTCACTTTAAAATCGACTTAAAGAAAAATATTAAGCAAACGATAGCAAGATGGCACAACGATAGGGCAAAAAGTTCTATAGCAGAGTGCAAACACCTAAATATCAGGAAAGAGTACGCACAAAAGCTAGCTGTTCTTGGATGCTTGTTATTTCACAAACTGCCAGATCTCATTCACCGCCAAGTTCAAAATGAAAGCCAATCAACAGCCACAGTTCCACGTAATTGAAGGACTGAGACCCGTATTAGAAAGACCCACCCCTTGTGTGTATCCTGCCCTGGATGAGTCTGTTAACATCTCCAGTCATCTATGGATAGAAAATTATTTTTTTGTCCAGTTTTCAAAGTGTCTACTTTAAAGAAATTCCTAATTTGTCTGTATGCCACTTACAAATATATAAAAGAATATTACAGTGTGGTATGACTAGTTTAGCACACAGTAGGACTATCACCTCCTTTATCCCAAATTTCATATTTCTGTAAATAGAATGTAAGAGGTCCTTAGCTTCTTTGGTAGTAAAACACTATTAATGAGGAATATGACAATAGTACCTACTAAAACATCTGTGACTTTTTCAGATGTGACACTGTTACAACTATGCTTCCCCATTTATGTTTGGCTGGGCTTGAACTGGCTTAAATTGTTCTCAGAAGCCACCAGCCCCATCCATCTACAGCATGGCTCCAATCTACATCTGCAGCTTCTGCTTTTGCTTCCACCGTGTTTTTCTATGCTGGGTTACTCAGATGCTCCTGTGTATGCGTCCTTTCTGACTCTGAATGGCTGTTCTTCAAGTCTGCTTTGGGTTTTTCAAATGCACTCTTCAGGGGGAGACAAAGTAAGAGTTAAACAAAAAGACAACAACCACTGGTATTCCTACCAGACATAAAAAAAACAGTATAAATCTCACATTGTATATCTTCTCTACAAATACGCAACTTCAAACAATTGTCCTTCAAAATGGAAAAAGCAGCTTTTTTCACTCAATAATAATCATCATGAATATCCCTTAAAACACAAAATTAGATGGCTGCTTTGGTAGTCCATGTATAGATACAGAATTATTTGGCTGGGCGCGGTGGCTCACGCCTATAATCCTAGCACTCTGGGAGGCCGAGGTGGGCAGATCACCTGATGTCAGGAGTTCGAGATCAGCCTGGCCAACATAGGGGAACCCAGTCTCTACTAATGATACAAAAATTATCTGTGCGTTGTGGCACGCATCTGTAGTCCCAGCTACTCAGGAAGCTGAGGCAGGAGAATTGCTTGAACCCAGGAGGCAGGGGTTGCAGTGAACCAAGATCACGCCACTATACTCCAGTCAGGGTGACAGAGTGAGTGTCTCAAAAAACAAAACAAAACAAAAAACAGACATAGAACTATTTAACTACTGCTAGACATTTATGATGTTTCCAATATTTTTCATTATCAGTCACATGTGAAGAACTGTCTTGTAGCAAAATATTTGCATGTCTGTAATTGTTTTTTGCTGGTTCAAAGGGGGCCAGTTATAGGCTTTTCATAGCATGCTGCCATAGAGTCACAGATTTCGTTTACCAATACCAATAGATTGTTGATGGAATGCTTTTTATCACAGGTTTTCTGGAAAGGCTGTGCCAGATTTATGGTTCTGCCACCGTGTCTGAGTGTGGCTGGCATTCCCCACATCAATGATAACACTGGGTATCAACATTCAAATATGGTTTGCTATATTTGCTATCCAGAGCTAAACTTAGATGGGCTACTTCACATTTTTATAGAGTATTGTAGTTTTCTTTTTAAAAACAATTTTCGGGTGTTCTTTTCTGGTTGAGTGGAAAAAAGAAGTTGCTTGGAAAAGAGCCTTGGTTGTTATGCAGGCTGGAGACTCAGCACTTTTTTTTAAGCCACTGTAGTGCTGATTAAGACTGCCATATGATAGCTGCTGGTCTGCACTATCAACAACCAAAAAGTGGGTCAGCTGAGCATGTTCAACTCAAGACTTATGTTTAGCGCTGAATTCTGAATATTAAGTGTCAGAAGCCAGCGTGCTGCTATTTATTCTCCTGGACTGTTCCTGGAAGATCATTATTTTTCATTGGAATCGACGAGAAGGAGGAACAAAATTGCAATCAATAAAAGCTTCTTCGAAAAAGGCACATGTTATGTGAGAAAATCATTTCAGCAGCTAGGAGACTTTTCTGATCGTAGAGGCCGGGAAAAAAAGGAGAAATTCAAGGAGGCTGAAACATATCCTTGGAGACGCTGAGTTGGTGATTAGGAAAGGGAGAACATTCTGGAAAAGAGAGCACAGTCTCGGGGATTTTGCCTAAATGGGGTCTAGTCATTAGAAAAACCTTGAATGCAGTGGTTCCCAAAGTGGAGTCCCTGAACCAGTGTCAGCATCGCCTGGGAACTTTTTAAAAATACATATTCTCAGGTCACATCCCAGACCTATGAATCAGAAACTCTGGGGTGGAACCAGTCATCTGTGTTTTAACAGGCCCTCCCGGCATCTCCGATGCATTTGCAAGTCGGGGAGCCAACCTCCTAGGGATCCTCTTGCTTCCCAGTCCACAAAAGCAGCAGCCTGGATGGGATGCAGCTTCGCAGCTGTAGTACGCTCATGAGTGGTCTCTCCTGGAGCATGATATCCTACCTTGCTTTGCAGACAGGACTCCTGTCAGAGCACTGCTGCTGGATTTACCCTGGCCCTTCGAGTTTTTCCGTCTCTCGAGAGCATTCTAAAACAGGATTGAGATAGAAAAAAGCCCATCAGAAAAGCCAGCAATGGAAAAGTACCTAGCAGGTGCCTCCTCCCATCGGCACACAAGATCCCCTTGCAAACTCCAAGTGCTACCCTAATATTTAGAATTCCATGTCTACACCCAAGAGTTATAATTTTTATGGCCTGGTAAGTAGTCTTTTTTTTTTTTTCAAAGGTGGTATATGGCAGAATGATAGCAATTACAGTCCCCTGTATACAAAAAGCACTTAATATATGTTAAATAAAATCTGAAGCAAGAATGTAGTCTAATGTGAAGTCACTAGTAATGAAAATTCCTTCTGAATAGACTTGAGATGGTGACTAGGCTTATTTTCATGGACCAATGGTGATTTCTGGAAGGAAAGACGGCCATGATCAATTAGTGATGTCTGCCGTGGCTACAGATTAAGGAAGTACATATGTGCCACCTACATGTCATTTCTAGAACAGACTTACATTAAAATTGATATGTAAATCTAGCCAGTGCTTGGCACAGAGAACTGAATAAATGTTGTTAAATGAATGCATCCATACGTTTAAAAAATATGTATTAATTATACAACCTTAAAGGCTATATTCTTCTTTGGCTGAATGTGTATAGATAGATGGTATAATGCGTGGCCCCCACAACATGGAAAGGAAGAACAGCATGGAGACTTGCAAGAACAAATGCTAATGTCAAAAGCCGGGAAAATAGGTTCTTCCAAGGATCTAGACGGCTGTAAAACTTCACCCTCAGGAAGAGAAATCAATCTATTTTCCAGGCAGAGAGACCCAGGAGATTTTTCTAATTATAACACTTACAACTAACATCTGCAGAAATAGATATTATCAAACTAATGGTGCTGGAATTAGACTAAATAACAGTGGGGAGAATTTAAACACTCTGTCCTTGCAGTGTGACATGAACATTATGCTTTAGACTGTGACTTCCCAGTATTTGTTTCTTCATCACTCGGAAACCATTTTCTTATGGATGATTATGAGAAAAACAGCATCTGATGAGTGCACATGTTATAGAGAAAACGGATAAGAAACCTAATTGCAAATGGACAAAGGCTGTGCAGTAGGCAAGATTCAATGTCCAGATTCTGGTGGAGAGGCTACACCAGGTGCCAAAACACACCCTGGTGGCCATGCCTTGCCTGGATAACAGCCGCAGAAGGAGCTCTCGCGAAAAGCTGCTGTGGTTTTGTTTGTTGTTTGGGGTTTTAATTTTTGCTGGTTACCCCAGTTAAAGCTTTTATTAGAGTCTATCTGGGAGGGCAGGCAAGTACTAAAATATCTTTGGTACATAAAAGGGAATTAAAATAGAATGACATTTAGAGGCACAATAGTGAATTACCATCACTGTCATCATGATTTTGCTACCTTGTATTTGGCAATGTTTGACTTCAAGAGGTTGACCTCTTCATGGAGTTGCTTTAATCTCTCTTGAAGGTACCTGGAAAAGAATACATAAAGCTAGGAAGTGTTTGAGGGCTAAATAAAAAACACACACTGATGTATAAGAGGAAAAACAAAACCCACTTGCCAGAAGAGCTATCTTTTACACTTAACACCTTGCCTGCTCATGAGAAAGGAGAGCCACATGCATCTTCATGACCTTTTCTTAAATGAATACAGTCAAGGTCAAACATGCCCAAATCACAGACACCCCACTTTAAAACAGCCCTCGCAGAGCTCCCCTAAGGGATATCAACACGGTTTTCTCATAATTCTCATTAAGATGATTCCATGGGGAAGACAGGCAGGAAGAGGCAACACCAGACATAACATTAGGTTAGACACACACATACTGAAATTTGCCTCAGGGAAAAGAAACAGCTAAGGGAATTTCTCAATTTATTTTCTTATTCTTTTCTTTCTCCTTGATGGCAATAACAAGCAACTCTCCCAGGTTCCTGGCCCTTGTCGGCCTACCAAGGAAGGTGTGGGGAATGAGAAGGAAGATGAATGTGTGCCGCTGTATAGGTGTGGGCTGCTTTCTTTAACACATGTTAGCTGTAATTAGTTATATCACAACTCATAAATGGCATTGATGTCAACATTTGGGGGTGAATGAGTTTCTTTTCACTTGTAAGGCAATTTTCTCCAAAGTAAATGGGCCTGCAAATAACTCCCAGCCTGCAGGCCTGTACAGAGCCCTCCTCCTTCCCACACATAGGCCTGGGCCTGGCCACTTGCCTGTTCTCCATGCACAGGGCATCCACGTCAATGATTCGGTTCTCGTGCCCACTCAGGATATGGTTCAGCTCCTGGTTGAGCCTCTCCACTTTGTCCTGGTAGGAAGACCGTTCTTCCTTAACATCCTGAAGCTCATCCACAGAAGCCTGCAGGTCGTGCTCCAGAGACTCAATCTGAAACCACAGGGAGCGCCCTCACTCAGGATGTTCCTCAGGCACTGGCTTTACTGTCAGAGATGGAGCCTCCCACTTGGTTGACTGATTTTTACAAAACTTATTAATACCACCCGCATGCCCTGAAACCATAAGCTCCACACACTGGAATGCAGGAAGAGCTAAAAGCGAGAGGGCAACTTCCTGCCAGACGCGTATTACATCTAAGAGGAGAGGTGCAGCAGCTTGGAAAACCAGAACAGAACCCTCGCCTTCTTCAGGGTGCCCTGCAGCTGCCAGCGTCTGACAGATCCGCTCTTTTTCAAATCCGCTCTAGACCCAGAAATCTTGTTCTGCTCTTCAGTTAGTAAGAGGAAGGAAAGGAAGCCCAGGCTCTCTTAGCTGTTACCTAACTAGGGCTCTGCACTTGTTGAGATTTTGCCGAAAAGGCATTTGCTCAGCATTTTAGCAGAAACTTGCAAAGTAAGGCCACTTTGTCACGTGTTGTTCTCTCCTTGTCTATCCTGGCAGGAGGAAGGTTTCTTGTTGTGTTCAGAACAATTGTACCCAATGTCAGGGAGCAGACCTGCCTGCTGAAGGCGAGAAACCCAAGAGTCAGCTTGGGACCCTGGCGCAGTGCCGAGGAAGTAAAGGCATTCAACGTGCATCCCAGGCATCCCACACTCTGAGAAACGGGACACAGCATGGTCCACTCGTTTGTGTTGTGTCCAGCTGTGCAAACGCATCCCCCACTCTGAATAAATGTTAGTGAGAACCTGTTCCTTAGCTCTCTCTAGCTGCTGAACCAAGTCTTCACGCTCATGGGCTGCAAAGTGTCGCACACCGATTTCTTCATCTCCAAGCCTCTGTTTAGCAATCGTCATCCTCAAGAGCTGCATTGTCCATTGGTAGAAAAAGAAAAAGGGACAGAGAATAAACAGATCCAAATAAAAACCAAAGGACACTAAGAAACTTTTGGGAGATAAGACACTTTCAAGAAATACTGGAGAAAGTGCAAACAATTACTTGCCAGTGTCATCAATTATTTTAAAAATTAAAAATATAGATTGTATTTAGTGTACACATGCATGCACTCTTTAAGGCCCAGGCACTCTAAGCTGGATGTCTGGTGGAGTACTGCTATAGGGTTCCCATTAACATTTAGCCAAGATTCAAAAATCATAACCCAATGCTGGATGATCTGCTGAGATGGGCACACTCCCACACGCTAACAGTGAGGCGATGTTATCAAGAGCCTTAAAAATGTCCCCACCCAATGACCCAGTAACTCTACTTCTAAAAATCTGGGCTAAAAATAATCCCAGACTGCTAACTTTAGGAAAATATAAAAAAGTGGACTGCACTGTTATTTACAGAGTTAAAAAAAAACTAAAAACAATGCCTAGCAATAGTGTTACCCTAACTGGGTGACAGCAGAGGACATATTTATAATACCATGTTAAGTGGGGGGAAAAAGAATTCTAATGTTTCTATGCAGTATGACTAAAATTATACTAAGAATGAACTCTCTGTCTCTCTGTCTCTCTCTCTCTCTCTCTCTCTTTCTCTCTCTCTCTCTCACACACACACACACACACACACACACACACACAGAAAGAGAGAGAGAAAATGACCAAATGCACTCAAATATTTAAAATGTGTATATTTCGGTGATGGTGAGACTGTTATCTGCTTGTTACTTTCTAACTTTTAAAATATTTATTCACTTCATGAATTTTAGAATATACCTTTATTTATGTTTTAAAACCCTCAGGAGTAAAATTCCAGTCTTCCAAAACATAATTTTCCAAAAGAACCCTGCAGAACCCATAGCTTTCCCGGACTCCGGAGCCAAGACCCCACCTGCAGCTCCAAACCTTCTTGGTGGGGCTGCAATGGAAACGGTGTGAGAGGCCCAGGAAGACCCCAGTGGTCTCAGAGCATCCTACCTGCCCATCACAACTCCAAGGATCGCCACTGAAGAGTGACTTTCATAAGTTACAGCAGTGCTTTCCAATGTTTCTTTTATGGAGGTTTTAAGTCTGATTCCACACCTCCGTGTAGGGACGATGTGGATGGGTTTCATATATGAATGGGATGCTGGGGACAGTTTTTCACTGTCACACAGATCTGACCCAGCCGGAGTGCCTGCGGGGGGCATGCTCTTCCTTGTTCCTGCATGAATCTTAAGGGATTCGTTGCCAGTCGAGAAAATGGCTTAATTTTCAGAGTCTCTGAAGGATTTATGGGCAGGTGAGAGATAGGAAGTTAATTTAAGCCAAGGGAGAATATTAACTAAATTGAAATAATAAATAACAGCAAGGAACTTTGAAAGAAATGATGACTAAAGAAAAGTAAAGTGCATTTTCAAATGACACTTACTTTGGGTCCTTATTTGAAAAGTACGCAGTTGAACTCCACAAATATTTACTGTGCCCCTACCAAGAGCAACAGCACCACTGGGACTGGGTGGACAGTGTCCCAGGCAGGTGGAACAGACCGTGCAAAGGCAGGCAGAAGATGCAGGACGCTTAGATGTGCAGATGGCTGCACTTGCTGGAATCTGGTTACACTCGATCCTCATTATCCATGGATTCTGAATTTGTGAATCTGCTTACTTGCTGAAATTTATTTTTAACCCCAAAATCAATATTTGCAGTGCTTTCATGGTCATTGTCAGACATGCAGAGAGTGGCAAAAAATTAGAGTCGCCTGACACACACATTCCCACGGAGGTCAAACAAGGCCACGTTCTGCCTTCTTGTTTCAGCCCTTGGATTGCAAACAAATGTCCCTTTCCGGACCTAGTGCGTGTCACCACATTTGTCACATTTTTGTGCTTTGTACTGGTGGCTTTGCTGTTTAAAGTGGCCCCTATGTATAGTGCTGAAGTGCTAGAAGTGCTTGTACTTAGTGCTCTAAGTAGTAAGTACCTAATGGAGATAATAGGTGTGTTAGAGAAGCTTCCTCCAGGCATGAGTGACGGTGCTGTTGAACTCAGTTCACTGTTCATGAATTAACCATATATGTCAAATAAGATGACTTTAAACAGAAACACACATAAAACAAGGTTATGGCTGATCAACTGGAAAAAATGTTGTGACCAGAGGCTTACAGGAACCTCATCTTGCATTTCTCCTGGGAGGAATGGCTCAGTATTCACTAGTCTAGTCATTTGCAGTGACTTCACAGAACAAATTGGTAGTGAAACTTGCAATTCCACTGAAAGCTGATATGCAAAAACCGTATCACATCACACAACTCTTGGCTTGGGACATCAGATCCCCAAAAGTGGATACACAGGAAGGCAAACAGCAAGCCAAATAAAAAAATGTCTATCAGAGCCAAGGGTCTAGGAACAAGAAAATTCCTGCCTTTCGGTATGAGGCCAGCAGGAGGCTTAGGTTGTGTCTTCAAACGCAGGGTATTTTTCTTGGTCTATGAAAAGCCATACTGACCGCCTGAGCTTTAAGTAATAGAACACTGTGGTTTTCCATTCCCAATATGCTTCACTGAGCACTTAATTTAGAATCACACAATTATGTTTCCTTAATGCCAATTAATTATTAAACATGTTTATTGAAGTCTGACAGCCATATAAGAGAGTCATCTTTCACATATCGGATGCCTGTTAAGCTTCAATAAATATGTTAACAATCATTTGGTGTTTAATGTGCATACAGTATCAGCTGCTAAATCTCAGGGCTGGACTGGTTGAAACACTTATTGTTAAAAGCGAGGCCCAAGTTGGTAATAGCTAGTCCATTAGTTGGGTCTGAAACTCAAGTGCAGTAGCTGAGGGGGTCTAAGGAAGTCACTGCAGGGAGGACGGCAGAGCCCCAGGAGAGAGCTCCTGCCTTCCCAGCTGACAGCTGGTGTGCACTGGAGTTGGCCCAGCTAGGGCGTGCATCCTGGCTCCACAGTCTGTGAGCTGTGCAGTCTCGGGACGCTGTCTAAACTTCTCGGAGCCTCAGTCTCCTCCTCTGTAGAAACACAGCAGTAAAAGCGTAGCCTTGAAGAAGTGCTGTAAGTATGAAGTGAGAAAGTGGGGTTGCGTTAAAAGAACACTGAAGTCAGAGGAGTCCAATTCCTCGTACAGACGAGTTTGGTGATTAAAAAAGAAGAGGAACAAAAGGATGAGAGAGAAATAACCCAGAACACTGTGTGATTCTCCCAGTTCCTATGCTCAATATCCCTGCTGGGGAAAGAGGGGAGAGACAGACTGATAATACATTTATGCAAAGTCACACTGTTCTGTTTTTACACAGTACTGCTATTCTGAAGCATACACACACTCTGAAAGTTTTGGACAATTTCAAGGGACCATCGGGGGAAATTTTGGCTACATCCAAGTTTCTTCCTCTTCCATGCTGATTTCAGAATCGAACCCTAAGTAAGAGAAGATGGGACTTCTCATCAATACTTAGCACCGGCCCTGTAGCATATTATATGTCTCATAAATAAGCACTAAATGTTAGGGGCTCTTATGATTATTGGAATCATCATCATCATCATCATCATCCACGTACGTTTTCCCACACAGAAGCCCACTAGGGAAGCCTGACCTTTCTTCTAAGCTGGAGAAAGCAGAGCTCCCAAGCCAGCCTTATCTGTGTAGCGCAGGCAAATGATGTTGATTTTCCACCTTGGAAAATGGCTATGAAGCAACCGCTCAGGGCACTTAATTTCCTCAAACAGGGCCATGAAAACTGCGCAGCCAGCCTCCCTGCGCCAGCCCACAAAGTGGATCAGTGCCTTGCACAGCACCCGCGCCGCCACCAATAGATGCATTCAGTTGCTGATTTAGATAGAAATAAATGTTTATGAATGAATTATGGGTGTGAGTCGTCAGCTTGCGGATGAGGCGCAGCTGCAGCTGGGATGTGGCTGAGGGACAAGGCCTCAAAACAATGTGGTAAAATGGCTTCTGGGTGCCCTGCCCCCAACTCTGCCAAGGACCTGCTCAATCTGTCCTCCATGAGGCCTGTCCAGGCCTCCCGAGTCAGAATGACTTGCTCCCTCCTTGATCTCTTCTCAGCCTTCGTCTCTCGCAGCCCTCAACAGTCTCTACCTCATCCTATTTTCATTTGCCTGAATCTGTTTCACTCAACAGTGAGAGGCAGCCAGGTGCAGGAGCAGCGATTCTCCAGGTGTTATCTATGTTCACCCGGAGATCCAGCTTCTGCTAATCCTAGCTATGAGCCCTTGGCAAGCTCTCTAACCTTGGTGGGCCACATGTGACTTGTTTAAAAAAAACAAAAAAGGATAAAATCCATCTGGTAGACAGGACAGTCATGTACAGCTGCCCAGGCTGTGCACTGTACAACTCCGTCTGCGGAGATCAGATTCCCACCATGGGAAGATACAAGGCAATGACCACTGTCCATGGAACTCCACGAGCTTTCAAAGTGCAATCCCCAGTTACAGTTGGCAAGGTTACAATTCTTATACAGTGGCTGTCAATTTGCCAGGGCTATTAGGAGGGTCAGATGAAAGAATCATTAACAGGAAGTGGATGCTGGCCCTTCCCTGCCCCCAGTCCTCGTGTACTGCTGCACATGGCACACCGGGGAGAGGTCAGCACCAAAAGGCATTTATTAAGCATTCATCTGGAGTGGCGCTGTGCAGGGCAATTCCATAAACAAGGCCCTGCCTATTATTTCTTTACTTTTCCTGTTGGTTTCCTCCACATCCTCTCCAAATACCCCCTGACCTTTTAGAAATACCTTCCATAAAACTGGACATGAGTGATTAAAAGGCTCCAAGTGGGCCATCTACTGTGTACACCAGAGTCCTGATTCTTAGATTTATATGATATTCCAGTTCTAGTTTCAAACAAAAGAATTTGTCACTTAAAACAAATCAAAACAGTAGTTTTCATCCTGGAGATCAT